CAAGTTCTACCCTTAATCCTTTGTTCTATCACTAAAGTAGGAGTCTCATGCTTCCCTTAATCCTCTACTAAGGGTTTCTCCTTGAGTATAGCTCTAAAGGATCTTTGACCACACTAATTATATTTGCTATGCATTATCTAAATACGACACTGACACTCTTGTGCATTATCTGAATGCAACAATGAATCTGTTATGCATTATCTGAATGCAACCCTGACTAGTATCTGGTCTCATATAGCCATTATACACTAGTTAACTAATGGAACCTGACGTCGCATAGCATCGGTAAAATTCTGACTAAGTTGTTAAATGATCTCATAGTCTCACATAGTCATCAAGTCGATCATGGAGGGGGAACCTAGTGTCACATAGCATTGGTACAATTCTCGTTCAACTGAAGCATTGGGTCCGTCTCACACAGTCGTCAAGCCAAGCTCTAAGGATATATGTTGTACTGGATTGATGTAACTATACATGTATATTTAAGGGCCCAAAGGCCATACAAAACTGACATCTCTAACCCACTTCTCGTGAGTGTTCAGGCCTCGTGCCCTAGTGCCTCACGCATTGACAATTCCCCACTAGGGCAATTAAAGTAGCCTGGTTACACCCTAATATAGTTGGACATACTAAAATGAGGTTATCCCCTCACTATCTGATATATTTCTCATTCTCTCATCTAGAATATTATGAAAGGGTTTATTAGTCTGTTACTATTGTTAGTTATTAAGTTGTTCTATTCTGATCAATCGTTACTTAAGGTGTTTTGTCATTTCTATCTTAGAAGAGGTCTCTATGCATTTCATGACTTAACGATGATTTTTGTGTTTGTTGTTCATTGGCTGTAACACTAGCTAGCCCGATACCTGACTTGGGTTCATTACTGAGTAGTGATACTCTCGTCATTATTATCGTATTTCCCTTCAATGCCCCTTGAACTGAAGGACAACTTACACGTTCTCAGTTCATTACTGTTTCCAAAGAATCTGACTTACTTATCTCATCGCTTGTCGGTATATCCTCTGCAACAATCTTCGATTTTAATTATTTGATACGTACTCGATTGAAAATACTTGGATGTATTATGCTTAGTATGTTTACTTCGGTTATAACCCACTCTTACAAGTGTTTCTAGGCCCTCATGGTTCTTTGCGTCCCTCATGGACTAAGTTCCACCATTACGGATCCTCTTTAACTTTTATGGACAGTAAAATGTCAAATCTAACCATCCAAAGTGAGTAGTATCGATACTCTAGGGTCAAGTATCGATACCCCTATGAGTATCGGTACAAAAATGGATTTTATTGCTAAAAATTGGCCCAATACCGATACTATAAGGGCAGTATGATACTCTTCCTGGAAGTATCAATACTCCCTATCATTTTCCCAAAATTAGTCCCAATTCAACCAATATCGATACTGTTCATCCAATATCGATACTTGAAACCAGAAATACCTTATTTAAGCTCGAAAAACACCCAAAAATGATCTTAAGGGTCTTAATTTCGTTTTAAATCATGTTATATGCTTATGGAAGTTACTTAGGGTCATCTAGCACCCTAAAAAAACAATCTAAGATAATAAAAAATGTCTTTTATGGCATGAATCAAGCATAAACCCTAAAATATTCAAATACTCAAATCTTAACAAATCATCATGCTTATTAAAGTCTTAACACCACAAAGGATTATAAATACACTACCTTGCAGTCGAAATCCTTAAATGAAGCTTCTTTAACTAGCAACCACTCTCTTCCAAGACTTGGATAGTAAAAACCCACACTTTATCTAGCAAACAAGAAAACCAAGGCTTTGAATCATCAAAACGATTTGCTGGAGGGATTAAGGACGAATTTGAAGTGTGAAAGATGCCCAAAAACTTAACTTTGAGATATGGAACTTAGAGAATATGAAGGAGGAGGAAATGAATGAAGAGAAATGAAGGGAAGAAGATGAAGAGGGAGATATAAAGCTCTCATCTTTTTAAAATGGGATAATTAAGCTTTTGGTTCATTCTCATCTTTCTACTATGAAAAAATCCATTTTTTATGGCTAATTGGATCCAATCACAACACAATTAAGCCCAACGACTTAAATTATGAAATGCATGAGGTCCACATGCCTCTCGGGTAAACCCGAAACTATTAGCCCAAAGTTTGGGCCGTTACAAAATGAACACGTTCACGAACGTTAAATGAACGAACACGAACACCTTTAAAAATAAATAAACGAACACAAACATGATATTAAAAAATTAAACGAACACGACCCGAACATGAACACCTTTAAAAATAAATAAACGAACACGAACGTTGTCTCGTTTGTTAAAGCTTGATTCATTTACACCCTAAATGTTTAGACTCTTTTCAATTAAAAAAAAAAGTTTATAACTAGAATTTACGATTGTTCCTCCTAATTATATTTTCTTTAAGAAGATATTGTATCATCTAAACTTAAGACTTTATATATATCATTGACCTCATTTTATTGATAAGAAATAAAACTATTTTCAATCTTAATTTAAATATTTTTAAAAAAATACATTTAATTATAAAAATATTTTTAATATTTTATAATACATTAACATTAATTTTAAGCCATCAAGATGGATCAAATTCAACCCTGCACAAATTTTTAGAACTAGACCATGACTCAGTTCAGTTTGTGAACAAAATTTTGTATAATCCTACTTATGCCCTGTTTAATATTACGATTGGAAAATATTTTTAGAGCCAAAATACTTTTGGGCATACAAAATATTAAGTATATAACTTTTCGAAGAAAAAAAAAGATTTTAAAAAATTGATTGGTTGAGTGAAACAATACCTCAAAATATAAATTTTAATTTTTTAAAAAAAAACTAAAGATCATAAAAATATAAAATATAAAAAAGTTAAAATATTTTTAAATTTAAGATACCTATTATGGGGGGAAATAAAATTTATAAAAATATAGAAAAATATACAAATAAAATATAATAAAAATAAAACATGTAGCACATTATTATTAGACTCTGTTAATTTTTTTTAATAAATTGCAATGAAATATGATTTAGACACATAAAATGTTATTTCTAATTTTAAGATTTTTTTTATGAATAGTTTGAGTGAGCATAAAATAACATCTGTTTAAAATTTTTATTAATTATTAATAACATAAATATACTTCACAGATATAGTTATGCAAATTTAGAATCTCTTTTTTATTGAAGTAACCTGATGAATTTATTTATAAAAAAGATAAAATTATTTCAATAGTTTTATCTTAAAGGTAATATTTTAAATAAAATTTTATTTTTCATATAATATTGATTATTATATTATTAATATTTTTGAACTTTATCTTATAAACTTAAAGATAAATATTAATATATGACATTATTTTAAAATTTAATATTAATATATGATATTTATTTTAAAATCTTTGAATATTTATTATGAATGAAGAACTCTGACATCATATATTAAATCAGTTTTTTTATAAATCTAATATCAATATAATATAATATATATTCAATTATTTTTTATTATTTGATAATAAACACTCATAATTCTAACTTATACAATTTTTAAATTTAAAATCTTAAAAGATAATAATAAATGTTAATCATTGAGATAGTTTCATTCGTTTTAATTACATAAGTGTGTGACTTCATATATCCAGCTAGTAAAGGTAGTTCTGCTGTATGGAAGTCTAATATAATATTAAAGAAATGTGCTACCGAGAATATTAATATTTTTTAATATTTTCGGTAGAACTCTACCTAAAATGTTATTTTTACCGGAAATGTTAATTTCGTTACCGAAAATGATTATTTCCGATATTAACATTTTCAGTAGAAAAAATATCATTTTAGATAGCGCTTAATATTAAAATTTTTGATAAAAAAATAATATTTTAAATAGCATTCTGCCCAAAATATTAAAAAAAATATTAACATTTACCATATATTAAGTTTATTTGCTTAAACATCCTAACAATTAAAGATATCCAGAAGGAGAGTCTTCGAAGTTGTCCCTTACACGATTTCGGGTCGCACGTGGCGGAAGATTATTAGTGGGGAAGGAAGGAATGAAATAGTTTGTTCCAAGTTGATATAGCTTAGCTGGCAATCAAGAGATGAACGATCAGGATTCACTTAAAACAAATATCGATGATGTGGAATATAGTCTACTATAATCGACCCTTTAAAAGTTCAATCATTGGCCTCTCTTTCTATTTCTAAATATGAAAAATGCCTTGATATTTATTTTAAAAACATATTTCAATACCTTATTTTTATTAATCAATTAAAAATGAATGTTTAATTATATAAATAATTTTTTAATAATAATAATTTCAAAATTCTTCCTTTTTAACATATATTTAAATCTATTCAAATTCAAAATTTTCAATCATACAAATATTAATCTATTAGTTAAAACATTCGGTTCTAAAAATTCTGTTCAAAATAGATAATTTGATTATTAAAAAAAATAAAATAATTATAAAATAATATCTATTTATAATTTTTCGTTAATAACACAATCATATATAATAATTAATTAAATTCTAATTTAAAAAAAAAGAATAACATTCATTTTATCGGGTCATTCAATATATTTAATTTAATTATTTTTCTCTTAATCAATTGTATGGAATAATAATAATAACTTTAGACAAACATATTTAATATCAGATTATATTATACTTGTAATAAAAAAAATAAAAAAAAACCGTGTAATATGGATTCATGCTTAATAAAAAGTGTTAATCAAAAAAATATTTAATAAAAAGTGTTTGGCGAAGTAATAAAGAAATTATATAATTTGTTATTTTCAAAAAGTTGTATAATTATTAAAGCACGATTTTTTATATCTTAAAATTAAAAATACATTAATGACGTAATATGTATGCAATTATATAGTCATGATTATAGCATTTAACTAATAGCATTGAGTTGAAGTTAACAAAACTTATATGATTGGCTCCGGGTGCCCCCCATTTTTCTCTCATTTATTGCAACCGCTTTCGAGAGGGGAATTGTGTGGAAGAGAAACAAAAAGCAATCTCTTGGCTTTTGTTCATAAGAAAGATCTCGTCTTTGAGTTTTTGTACTTTTAGAGAAAGCCAGAAAGAAGAGAGAAAAGAAAAAAAATAAGGAAGGAAATGATTCTCATGTCTGAGATTTTCTTCACTGCTGGAAAGCTGGAAGAAGGAGAGTGGGAGAAGGAGAGATAATAATAATAATAATAACATCACGTATTCGCCTAAAAACCCACAGCACCACAAGAAGGAAGAAGAAGAACCCCAAAGTTTTGTTTCATCTTCTGGTAATTCTTGTCAACACACTTTGATTTTGTTTTTCTTCTCTGTTGCTGTTTCTGGGTATTATGTCAAAAGCAAATCTGAACATAATCCGATGCATTTAGATTACTGATGATTGGCTTGTATGAACGATCAAAAAAAGAATGATAATTTATTAGTCGTTAATAATACTAACGCCAGCTAAACGTTAGGTAAGGTGTAACATATCTCAAAAGTCAACGTTCTTCTTTCACTTCTTTTTCACCGTATTCACGTCAAAACAGAAACACAGAAGAAGAAGCAAACAGTTGTTTATTCACCTTATTTATACCTTGTTTGCTTCGAACAGCGCTATCGGCAATGTCTGAAACCATAATCGGCGATACCATGGCGGTATCATCAGAAACTCAAGCAATATCGGCAAAACCCGAAGTCGAGTCGGTGAAGTGCGATTGCTGCGGACTGACCGAGGAGTGTACCCCGACGTATGTCGAACGTGTACGAGAAAGATATCAAGGTAAATGGATCTGCGGGCTGTGTACTGAAGCAGTGAAAGATGAGATTACGAGGACACACAGGCTCATCAGCACCGAGGAAGCAATGGCCAGGCACATGAATTTTTGCCGAGACTTCGTCTCGTCGGGACCGCCTTCTGATCCTACAATTCATCTCATATCTGCCATGAGAAGTATTCTTAGGAGGTGTTTGGATTGTCCGAGAGGTTTGAGGTCAACCCCGAGTAGCCCCACGAGGAAGGTGGGTGAGATTCGGGGTCCAGGGCTTACTCGGTCCGAGAGTTGTTTCCCTACCCTCTCCGGTTGAAAGAGCCGTACTGTTGTAAGAGGAAATTCTATGTAGATTTGATCTCAAATATACTTCTTTCAGATAAATTGCACTTGTCTTTTCCATTCTTCTAAGCTTATGTAGATCAATTTGTTGCATATTAATTTCACTTGCTGGGAAATTTTATCTATTGGGCTAGGACAAAATTAAGATTTAAAAATTTTATCTATGGGGCTAGGACAAAATTAAGATTTAACTAATCTAATTCTATATGCTTATTCCAATGTAAACTATCAAACATTATTATATTTTTTTAGTTCGGGATGATTACAAGGTAATATATATTTGAAAGACTCATTGACAATAAACGCTCAAACATCCTGTCGATATTGTGCTTAAACTGGGGACCTCTAGGGAGAATAATCATCCCTTTAACTATTAAAGTCGTCTGGTTCGTGCAAACTCTTTGAATCACTAACGATAAATAGAGATAAAATGTTGAATAAACAATATTATTGCAACCAAATACAGATCTCTCCAGAGATTGATCGTGGGGGCTAGACAGTCGTTTCTACTGAAAATTTCAAATCATCGTATAATTTAAATTTTTCTTTTTGTATTTTCATTAATAATTTATTTACATATCTAAAATTTTGTAAATTTATTCTCTAACATAAAATTTTATGTCTTTTCCCGGAATACATGGATGCAATTGTGGGGAGCTTTGCAGTGGCTAATGTAAAGAGCTATCAATGTAATATATGTTTGAAAGACTCATTGACAATAAACACTTAAACATCCTGTCGACATTGTGCTTAAACTGGGGACTACTATAGAGAGTAACCATCCCTTTAACTACTAAAGTTGTTTGGTTCGTGCAAACTCTTTGAATCACTTACGATAAATAGAGAGATAAAATGTTGAATAAACAATATTATTGCAATCAAATACAGATCTCTCCAGAGATAGGTCGTGGGGGCTAGACAATCGTTTCTACTGAAAATTTCAAATCATCGTATAATTTAATTCTTTTTCTATTTTCATTAATAATTTATTTACATATCTAAGATTTTATAAATTTATTTTCTAACATAAAATTTTATATCCGTTCCCGGAATACATCAATGGATGCAATTGTGGAGAGCTCTGCAGTGGCTAATGTAAAGAGTCAACAGACACAAGATTGTGGGTGCATGCATGGTTGTTAACTAAACAATAACAAGTAGGGTCATGGATTCCGTCAAAGGAGGACAGATCATCTCACTCTGTTTCTTTGTTTTTATGATAAAACAAAACTGGTTGCAGTTTAAAGTCATAAATTAGTTAAATTTATAATGTTTAAAAATAATTTTGATACAGCAGAATTATTTTAATATACAAAATTATTATTTTACCAAAGTTTGTAATTATATAAGTGTGTGAGAACATGGTTGATGTGGTGCTATCTATTGCAGAAAACATGGAATTAGCTTGCTGGCACATGTACCGGTGGTTGGAAGGTTTGGCATTATCCAAATAGGTAAGATTCCAACCCTTCTCTCCATTGCTTGCATGTTTTTTCCTCAGCTTTAAAACTTTTATTTATTGATTTTTAAGGTATAATTTCAAAAAAAATCTTAATTTTAAATAAATAATTATTTTATTTTTAAAAAATATTTTAACTCTCAATATTTTATCTTCCTTCATCTTCTTCTCTTCATTTTATTCTTCATCATTTGTTTCTCCTCCTTTCCTCTTCAAGTGACATAGCTAAAGGTGAGTCCATTGAGCCTTCCATACTTATTTTAAACTTCAAATTCACCCCTAATCCCTCCAACAACTCTGTTTTAATGATTCAAAGCCTTGGGTTCTTTGTTTGCTAGAAAAAGTGGGGGTTGAGCAACCAAATCCTAGAGGGAGTAAGTGTGGCTAAGAAAGGAGTTTTATTTCAGGATTCTAGCATCAAGGTAGTTTCTTTCTAATCTTTTATGGTGTTAAGGCTTTCATAATCATGATGCTTTGTTGAGATTTGGATGTTTAAGCATTTTAGGATTTTGCTTGATTTATGTCATAGATGATGTTTTCGTTGCTTATATTGTGTTGTTAGGGTGCTAGATGACCCTAAGTAACTTCCCTAAGCTTTAGCACATGATTTGGGACCAAACTAAGACTCTTGGGAGGATTTTTTAGTGTTTCCCAAGCTTAAATAAGAAATTTTTGGGTTTGATTATTGATACTAGATGAATAGTATTGATACTGGAAGAATTAGGATGATTTCTGGGTAGTTTAATATAGAAGTATCGTTATTGAAAGGGGGAGTACTGATATTGCCCCTCTAGTATCGATACTGGAGTAATTTTTGGAACATCAATGATGTTTTTGGTATTCATACTCAATGTATCACCCCAAGTTCCGGGCTAGTACTTTCGAGTTTACCCAAGATGATGTGATCCTAACCAACCCCATCATTTCGTATATACTTCTCATACCTTGGATATTTACCATGAAGGATTCTAAGGGAGTATCTTCCTTCTTTACTTTACTTTATATCTTTGCATTCATATTATATTATATACTTAGAATACCATGTAATCCATATCATACACATATATGCCATGATTGCATTTCATCTCCTAGGATACTATTATTACATGTTTCCATTCATCATTTATGAATACCATATTTATCATACTTTGTTATACCATACATTCATTCTATGTTAAGCTTAATCATGATATGCTTTAGTCCTTATACTATGTCCATCATATACTTTGCTTAGCATAATGCATTCATACACATCTTTAGCTTATGATATGTTCATGCACCATTACCTCGCTCATTATATGCATAACATTCATTGCATTTATTAAGTATGTTGTTGATTAAAGCATGCATTGCATTTAAGCTTATAGTTCATTCATGCATTAGATCACTTAATAAACTACTTCATTTAAGTCAGCAAGCTCATTGAATAAAATTAGTTCATTGATTACACTAGTTCATTCATTTAACTAGTTCATTAATCAAATTAGCTCTTAATTGTTTCATGCATGTTTTTTATTTAAAGTTTGAATAAAACCTACTTTTTTGTCTAGGTGCATGAGGGAAGTTGAACAGTTTCAACCGATGCAAGATTATCAATCAGAATATCTTCAAATTATGGATGCGATAAAGACATGTTTGGATCCAAAAATCAATTGGACATTATTCTCCTATCTCTTAGATTTCCAAATCCTTTTGAATCACCTCAATCCAATATCGTGAGCTTGATATATGATCGATTTACCGAAGACAGTGCATGTTGGAATTTTCATTACAAAAAATTTATGCTAGGATGATTTGGATGAGTTTGAGCCAAGGAAGAGTCATTTTATGCTAGCAATTGAAGGCCTTCTTTATTCACCTATTCAAGGCTATTCAAATATGATTTTATCCATGCAATTAAGGTCATCTTTATTCACGCATTCATGGCATTCAAGGCTGAAATTATCATATAATCTCAAGGGTTGTTCATATTCTTCAAGTGAGAATGCAATAAAGGTTTGTTTAATTCACTTATTAAGACAATTAAGTGATGAATATCAGCATGGAATAGGAAGAGACACGCCAAATTAGATGGTAAGGTGTTTATTCTCATTCAAAGCCTATATTCATTCTCTTTTATTTCACAAGCAAGCAAGACAAGGCAGTCTAAGAGTCCTCCACCCCTTGGACGAAAATAAGGCTAAATTCAACTTCAAAGTGTCTAGATTCATCCCTAAAAAGGATATAGAATATTCAACTAGCCTTGAAGATAAGAAAGACAAAGTATTCAAGTGTCTTTTATTGTTAAATTGATAAGAATGTCTTCATCTTTTGAGTCTTCTAATGGTGCTTATAAACATTATAAATAGGAACCTTCACTTCATTTGTAACGCACAATTTGATTTATGAAAATGCTTTGAGAGTTTTCTTTCATTCTAGTTCTTTTGATAGAACTTTATCAGCTTCAAGATCATCATGTAGTCTTCATCCATTACATTTGATTATAGTGTTGGTTCCTAGCTCATCTATAGCTAGTGGGTCACGTTTCACCTACTTTCAATTCGATTCCATCACTTCATATTGTTGGTTCCTAACTCCATATAGTTAGAGGGTTACAATCCATTTTCCTTTCAATCTATCTTACATTCCACGCCATTACCAACATATACCTTCGCCATACTTCCATTTCATCAAAACTACAACTTCCATCTTCTTATGTACTTAACCAAATCATAAAAATAATTTCCATATCAATCCCTCATTTCCATCTAGGTATGCATGTATGTTTCCATCAATATAGTACAACATATATCCTTAATGCTTGTCTTGACTATTATATTAGACTGAGCTAATGCTATGTTTGAGCGAGAATTTTACCAATGTTTATATGAGATCGGGTTTCCTTCCATGGTCTACCTAAAGGCTTTGTGAGGATCAGGAGATCATTTAATAGCTTAGTGAGAATTTTATCGAGGTTGTGATTACAGAGTTACCCGAGTTGACTAGTATCTGACGGCTATGTGAGACCGGATACTAGTAGTGTGTTGTATGTTACATTTAGAGAATGCGCAATAGTTATAGATATTATGGTTAAAGACCTCGTACACGTATACTCATGGCGATGCCTTTAATGGAGGACTAAAGAAAGCATGAGACCCTTACTTTAGTGGCAGAACAGTTGAACTTTAAGTACGTAGCACTTGATTATGATCATGCATATGACTACTGCTTATTACCATGTCTTCTAGCATGCTATTTTTATGAGACTCTTAATGTTACTCTAGATTAGCGATTATATTGCATGGCTTTGTAAGCAAAGCGTTCGGATGTTTCCATCTATAAGTTAGTAGTTGAGTCGTTCGAAAAGCACAATCGCAGTATGATTTCCAACATCTCTTCTAGAGTATTGTATTGTTACTTTTAGTGGGCATTGTATTCATAAACTCCTATTTATGTATTTGGATTATCAAACCTTGAGTTGTATTATTTGATTTAAACTATGTGTCACACAGCATGGATTTATAAAAGTGTTTATAACTATCATATATGTCTATTTTGATACCATACAATATGTTTTTAAATGGAAATGAAAAAGGTTTTTAAAGATAAGTGGTTGCCACGATGG